ACTTCTTTGTCCTGTCTTCGAAGAGTTATTATCTAGATCGTGGGAATGCAGCTGGTCTTTTAACTTGGACAGCTGTGTTTTTGTCTTCTAACTACAGTGCTAGGGTACAGCTGTTTTCCCACGCTGTGTTTTTGTCTTCAAACTACCGCACTGGGACAGCTGTGTTTTTTGTCTTCTAACTGGGTACAAGGGCACAACTGTTTTTTCCAGCTGTGTCTTCGAACTAGAGACACCTGTGTTTTTTGTCTTCTACAAGGGGCACACCTGTTTTTCACAGGTGTTTTTTTCGTTTTTTAACTGGGGTACAGCTGTTTTTCCCAGCTGTTTTTTTTTTCTTCAAACTACTGCACTAGAAGACAGCTGTTTTTTTCCCCGCCTAATAATTCCGTTAAGAAATTATATTATGACAGTTTTGTTTCTCTATACTAGTCATATTAGTAACAACATTGATGATATAATGAAAACTTAAATAAAATTAAACTAATTGTAGAATTTGATTTTTGATTTTGAAAAAAAAAATATTATGACAGTTTTGTTTCTCTATACTCATGATATTAGTAACATCATTGATGATATAATGAAAACTTAAATAAAATTAAACTAATTGTAAAATTTGATTTTGATAAGAAAAGAGGTGGTGAAAACAAAAAGACAAGATTTGATTTTGGATCTAACGACTGAGAAAAGTAAAATCTTATAAGAACCAATCATATTTTCTAAAAACAACTAGCAACAAGTTGTATGTTATCTACAGAGATCAGTAAAAAAAAATTTACCATAATTCGCTTGCCAATATCAATCACTAACACAAAATCATATTTTTCTTTAAGAACTAAATCGTTTTTTTAAAAACCGTAACCTTAAACCGTATATAAACTCTAGATAATAAAAAAAAACTTACGTTGCTCTCTGTTACCATTACATCTGAGGATAAGAATTTTTCCTCGAAAAAAGGTATGTATTAAATAAAACTTCTTTATATTTTATGTATTGAAAAGTACATAATTCTGTTGGATATAATCTGTATTATATCTAACCCTAACACATATATAAAAACAGCTCGATATTCACACCAAATCAGATGATTATTGTCGTATTTAAAAAAAAAAACATGATAGATTAATCTAATCCCGTAACATGTCCTGTCAAGTCGAATAAGAAAATCCGGTTACCTATTTTTGTGGGTCAGGGTGAATGCATAACTTGTTTATTAAGGAAAATCCTGTATCAGTATAAATACTGCCAGAGGTTCGGATAGCAGAAAAATGAATAGTAAGTTTTGTGAATAAAAAACACAATTTTCATATTTTAAATAGATTTTATTTTATTGAATTACAACACTGGTTATTGGTTATTACAATCGGTTTTGATAAATGAAAATTATTTTTAACAAAATTTTTAACAAATTCATCGTTATAAAATTTATCTGTTACATGCAGTTCTGATAAACATAGATTTCTATTAATTTTATATAAAAAATATAAGCAGAAATAACCACAGTTTAAGGAAAACAAACTTTGATAAATAATATTATTCCGACAATATTTTTTTGAATATCGTTTTATAAATCTGATGATAATTGCATTCCTCGGTTTTAATCCATAACTATCGTAATAAATGCGAGAATTTTTATCTTTCGTAAAAAATACTGATACCCAATGACTTCTGGGCTTATTTTTTTCATTTAAATTAATTATAAAAGATTGTTTATTACCAACTTGAAATGGTAGATCGTCAGATGCAAAAACTCCTCCAAAATTTTTTTTTATTTTCGGATCGCTCGCTGGTAATCTCCACAACGTAACGGTATTCATTAACGTTTATGGTTTCTGGTATCGCCTTCGAAAACTTTAATTCCACAGAAATGTTTCCAAGCTCGTTAACACTAACGTGAGACTCGGAGCCTGATTTATCGGGGGTAAGATCGAAACAATATAAAGTATAACTGTCTCGATACTCGTCGTACGATATATTTATAGATTTTTGATGATGAATACATCTGGTATCTTCGAATAACGAGATAATATTTTTTGCATAAATGCTATTGGTATAATCCGGAGTATAGGGTTTAGAAGGAATCATTTGATTGTCTTTTGATAAACATATATAATTTAAATCATAATTTTTAAAATTAAAAGGATTACGCTTCACATTTCCATTAAATGCAGAATTAGAAACTAATCCGAGAGTTATTCTATAAGGTAGTTGGCCGATAACAACGTTTGATATACTTGTAGACTGAATCCCGCTAGTTAACGTAAAGACTTTAACATCTGTCCTTCTGAATGGTAACTTAATTAGAGCGGTTTGTAATGCTTTTTCAATTCCTATCTGTATTNGGTATCGCCTTCGAAAACTTTAATTCCACAGAAATGTTTCCCAGCTCGTTAACACTAACGTGATTCTCGGAGCCTGATTTATCAGGGGTAAGATCGAAACAATATAAAGTATAACCGTCTCGGTACTCGTCGTACGATATATTTATAGATTTATGATGATGAATACATCCGGTATCTTCAAATAACGAGATAAAATTTCTTGCATAAATTTTATTGGTATAATCCGGAGTATAGGGTTTAGAAGGAATCATTTGATTGTCTTTTGATAAACATATATAATTTAAATCATAATTTTTAAAATTAAAAGGATTACGCTTCACATTTCCATTAAATGCAGAATTAGAAACTAATCAGAGTTATTCTATAAGGTAGTTGGCCGATAACAACGTTTGATATACTTGTAGATTGAATCCTGCTAGTTAACGTAAAGACTTTCACATCTGTTCGACAAAACGGTAATTTAATTAAACCAGTCTGTAATGCTTTTTCCATTCCTATCTGTATTGACGAACTAACATCTACTTTATTAATTTTCAGTGAGGCGTTTTTAATAATACTTTTATAGTTGTCGTTATCCGCCATTAGTGCAAAATTTTCTTCAGATCTTTCCAATTTAATTCTTAGGTCTACATGGTTCGTTAGAAGCTTAGGCTGATTCGCTAAATCGATATGAAGACGTCCCATTAAATCTATTATTCTACTTTCTTTGCTGATGTTAAATCTTTTAACTAATCCGTAGTTAGTATTATTTTCATATAACGGATATATTGAATCCATTTGTCTGGCAGTATCTTTAAAAAATAACGCGCTCGTTAAAAAAGTTTCTTGCACTTCTTTCGAATTAAATAGCAAGGCATCTAATATAGCTCGATACGGATAATTAACCTGCGTAATCACCGGTTTGTCATTTAAAAAAACAGTACATTGAGAAAACAAACTATTTAAAAAATAATTAACAGGAGTAACTTTCTCTTCCGAGCCAAGGTTTGATCCATCTTTCTTTACGATTTTCGCTTGAACACATAGATAAATCGAATGTAGATCCATATAATGCTCACCCGATCCTGATATAAGAAACTCTATAGGTGATCTACTGTCGTTAATTGCAGCGACAGGATGCGCGATGACTTCATACATATTGTCGATAGCCAGTTGGTTTCCAACATTCTTAAACAAATCTAATTCGGATTTGGTGCAGCCACACAAATGGACATTCATCGTTTCTTAATTACCAAAAATATTGTTAAGTTTTCGCTTCTTCTTCTTTTCCGACTGAGTTAATCTTTTTCGACGTTTTCTTTTTATACTTGATCCAGTTTGCACTTTTTTAAGCACGTCTTCCTTAATTTCAGATCGTACATCTTTAAAACGATTTTTTGTAGATTCTTTAAACGACTTCCCTCCAATTACATCTGATCCGACATTCGATGCAAATTTTAAAGCTTTACCCCCTAGATACTTTCCTACTCTACTAAGAATAGGAATAGATTTACGAAATAAATCCCCGAAAAATCGTATCCTCTCTGTATTTGTGGTGCAGCAAAATAAGTCCCTCTTCTGAATTGTCGTGCAAATAATGGAAACTCGTGTGTCAGTACCGTTCCTCCTGCCTGATTGCAGTAATAATCTATACAATCTCTGGGATCGAGCTTCATTTTCTACTTCACAAAGACAAACTAACGTTAATATATAAAACATACCAATATTTATATGTGTTTAAAAGATAAAACTAATAATGTCTTTCCTCCAAAAAAGACGATTTCTTTTCCGCTAGCAGTTCTCAGCTCGATTTCGATTGTATCTATATAATTATGTTGTAAAGGAAGGTATAGAGTTGATTGGTAGACCCTAACTATTTGATCTGACTTTTCCCCCATTACAGGTATAACCCTTAAAAGTGGAGCGGTTATATCCCCAACACGATGAGAAGCAACGATATTCGAATAAATAAAAATTTCTGAAATTCCGGCAGATAATTCGATGGGATAGTCGCTCACATATTCGCCTTCGGAAAATTTGCTTTTTTTAAATCCTAACAAATCTTTTAATTCGTTTCCGAATTCAATTGTTATATTTTTATGAACTTTTAAAACGATTTTGTTATTAGGTAGTAATGCTAATTTAATATATTTAAAAATTCCAAGAAATTTTTCAACAGAGGAATATAACCCGATTGGAATAAAAATTTTTTCCTCTACATCGATTTCCTCGACAAGTTTTTTATCTCTTTCTATTAAAGTTATAAATTGATCTTTATAAAATCTAGGATTTGATAGATATTCCTCACTCGCATCTCGCAATATTAAACTCGAACTCCGTTGTTTAAATACTATATCTTTCGTCGGTAAATTTAAAAAATAAAGTAGTTTATGAGCCTTTTCTTTCGAAATATGCAACTCGAATCCCTCTTCCAAATTTAGTTTTACGTTTTTATAATCCTCGTCTAAAACAAATTCTGCCAACTTAGATCCTGTTAATGAAACTATATTCTTGTTTATCCAATGGAAAAGCGTCCCTTCATTTTCATCGCCTGTAGTTAATGGAATCTCACATGTTACATCAGTTATTTTTTCTCTTCTAATTTTATGTCTAGTAATAGTATAATCGTTATTATGATTTGATATGTTGAACCAATATCTAGGAATAATAACCTCGCTCAGACCTACTACCCATTTCCCGCGTAAATCAATAGGTGGACTCATTTTCACGGTGAAATGAGACTGCTTATTTTCGGGAAATAACTCCATGCTGGCGTTGCTTATCAGAGTGACGAAAAAGTCCGACTGCATCATTTTGTTACCTTCTGTAATTCTTCTGTATAAAATCTTCCTTCCAAAATCTCGTTATTTAAATCTTTCAATATATACGTCGGAGGATGAGACGAAAAACGATCGTAAATAATAAATATTTCTTCCGTCCAACCCGGTAGGTATCCTCGACTAAATGTTTTACGTATTTTCGAAATTCGAACGAGGTCGCCAATATTAAATTTAAACGTGTTCTGTCCTTTTATACCGTACAACTTTTCGAAAATAGAGCTGTGATGCAAAGGTGTAACTTCTGACGGCGACATACCGATACTTCTATGAAAACTATTATTATAACTTTTCACAATATCCGATAATTTATCGATATATTTATAAGAATTACGATAAGTAAATAATCTATATATTTTATTTCGCAAAGTTTTATTTAATCTTTCAACAACAGCAGCTTTTGTATCGGAATGAGTCGAATAATGATTAATTTTAAATTTTTTAAAAAGATTTTTTACTAATCTATTATAAAATTCTTTTCCTTTATCAGTTTGTAAATTTTTCGGAATGTTTCTTTTTTTAAAAATCGTTTGAAAAGCTTTAAAAACCGATTGGGGTTTTTTATCTTTTATCGGTACGACATGACAATACTTAGTAAATACATCGATTACAGTTAGTAAATACTTTATTCCATTATTAAATCTAGAAAATTGTTTTAATACAACTAAATCAGCTTGCCGTAAATCGTTAGGATAAAAACTTATAGTTTTTCATCGCGAATATTTAATTCTTACAGGTTTATGAAGCGTATAAGTTACTTGAGAAGACAGCCATTTTTTAACAACAGATCGCGGTAAATTTAATTCTTTAACTAATTTACTCATGCCACTGAAAGATGCTGGAGTTTTAGGATTATAGTATATTGATTTCAAAAGTTATTCCATTTGAGATTTTTCTTCCTCTTCCTCTTAGATTTTTTCGACTGATGAGAGAAAATTTCTTCGGGAGTTTCGACCGATGATGATTGATCGAATATTTTTTCTGGTGATGTCGCCAATCTTTTGTTTCCGATCCACTCTTTAGGAATATTTATTTTCTTTAAGCCATCAAAAAAGTCTTTGAAACCAACGGGAGGTAATGCAGTTTTCCTATTTCTCATTACATACGAAACTAAGTCTACTATGTGACTCCCAATAACGGATTTTCCATCGATTGTTAATTCACCTTTAGAATTCCATCCGTAATGACTTTGATCCAACTTAGCGATTAAATGAGGTATATATTTTTGATATAATTGAGGTACTGATAAAATTATTTGTTTCATAAATCCGTCATCATCAGTTTCTTCTTTCGGATGAGATTCTGTTTCTTCATTTTGGTTAGATACAACCGATACTCTGACAGGTTCTTTAGGAGCGTGAACGGTTCTCTGATATCTGGAAATCAATTGACATAATAACTTGACTTTATCGTCATCAGGTAAATTTGTACTCTCGAGTAATTCTTCGATATTAGAACCAATTCTTATTTCAGGCTTTTGATAACTCATCAGTAATTCGGGAGGAACTAAGGCCATCTGTTTTTCGCCATTAGATTCTTTTTCCTATTACTTTACCGATTAACCCTCCTGCCATAGACAGTAATGGTGCCAGTAGAAGAGGAAGGAATTCGCCAGGTTGATTAACCAAAATTTTTTTCTTGGTATTTAAAGGAATGCGTTTTTCGCTTAATTTCCTGATAATTTTTTTATATTTTCGTAATTTACGAACATTGGTGGGTATATTTCCTCTCTGCAAATTATCACAAATTTCACACAATTGTGAGTAGCAGGGGGTCACTGGGTCAAACCCTAATGACCGCTTAATCTGCACGGGTCGGGAAGACCCGCTCTCGGTTGTCGGATGGCTTGTTTTGTCGGATGACACCAATATGTGCAAACCGAGGGGAAAGGATAAGAGTTTCTCCCACTTACCGGCTCGCTGTCAGAGAGTGGCTATAGGAGGGCAAAAGGAGTGGGAGGCGTAACGAAGTCATGATGAGATGTCGATAGTACTTATCAAGAGTCATTAAATTAGGAATAACATATTTAATATAAACTTAAATATAAATACAAATACATTAAGATTACACATTAATTCTAAACAACATGAAAGTGATAATCATAATAAGTTCCGAGTCGCGACAATATCGAACAACGAAGTCCGTCTATCCCGTAAGTGAGACCACCAAAGGTCCTCAACACAAAATAATTCTAAGTCCTATCCAAAGGAACAGATAAATAAATACAAAGTTCCGAGTATATCAGTAAAAGACAATATTTTCTAAGTCCGAGTATACCGAGAGACAATATTTTCTAAGTCCCGAGTATACCGAGAGAGAGTGAAGTAAAAACAATCTAAGTATTTACCTCTTTAGGTCGGCGATCAGAAACCTTGAAGTCCTTCCAGAGTAGACGCTTGTAGTCTTCTTTCTTCGAGGATCGCGTCCTCCGATGATCGCCTCGAGATCTCCGATCATTCCCCTTTTATACCTTTTTAGCGTGGGAAATCTCGGGGATTCTTCTGACGCAAACTGTCACTTCTCCCGATTTATGACAGTCTCCCCCGTCATGGGTGACGACAATGCAGACATCGCTTGACCAATTAATGTTAAAGTCGTCATCACCTGGGGAGATGACTGACCATTTTTGGTAATGTTCTCACCGTAAGGGTGCCCTTGTAGGTGACCTCTTGTCTACTCTCCATACAGGAACACCCATCCGTCTCCGTCCACCGGACACCCGCAGGAGACTACTCTATTACAAGGTGTCTGCGGTGTGACCAATTAGCAAAACAAACAAATGTCCCGGGGAGAGGGGATTTCTTCCGCGGTCGCCTCGGACGACTTCGTCCTAGGGATGACCTTCTTGACGGACGAATTACGCAGTTCATTATCCGGGGTCTATTCCTCGGACATTAGGGTGAGAACGGGAGAAACAACGAAAATGATGATGAAAGAAATATAACTTGTTACGTATTTAATAAAAATTCTCTTAAAAGAGTCGGATTTTCACATGACTCCCCACTTTTCTAAAAATCGCACACCCTTGGTGTGATTTTTCTTCCTTTCTCTGTTTGGAGAGATGAATTTGACGATATTTTCAATAAATACTATCTGCTTCTAGAAAAACAATGTTCAAACCTTCATGCGCAATTCAAAACTTTATCCCTCGATGCACCTTCGATGCTCTTCTACAACCGCACCGTCGATGCTTCTCTACAAACCGTTTTATGCATTGTCGCTGCTTTCACACATACTCAACTTCGACATCTTTGAATTCGAAGTTTGAGTCTGTAGTAAAGAATCTACCTCAATTCATCGTCCGTAGAAAGGCAAAACTCCAGATTTGAAACTTCATAAGTCTCTGTTTGCCTTATTAGGGGGGGAAATTTTGCATCTCTGTCATATGGAGAAAGTTAGCGTGTATAAATAGAGGGAGAAAAAAAATTTTCGAGGTTATACGCGAAAAATCTCTCTCTCTCTCGATCTACCTTAAACTTAAAACCTTTTTATAGGCACTAACAAAACTTACAAAAAAAAACAACAAAATTAATATTACGCAAAAAAAAAATATATAATAATAATGATAACACTACGCGATTTAAAAAAAAATTATAAAGGATACAAAAGATGGTCGACTTACGCGTACAATTTTAAGGATAAAGTCGACTTAAATATGAAAAATTGTTACGTACTTACTAATAATAATGATAACACTACGCGATTTAAAAAAAAATTATAAAGGATACAAAAGATGGTCGACTTACGCGTACAATTTTAAGGATAAAGTCGACTTAAATATGAAAAATTGTTACGTACTTACTAACAATATTGGTCTTATTCCATCGTTGAACACAAGGAGACAGTTCTCCAGACAAGAAATCACCAAACAATCTCTCTCTCTCTAGTAATCTCCACATCGCACCAGGACATCGAAAAGGATGAGACATCCTTCTCAATGCCCCGGCACGAACCAGAAATCACCAAACAAGGAAATGATTTTCATTCGTCGTACGTGATAATATGTGTTAAGTTCGAAAAAGGGTATCGGCTACGTCCGAAGAACATTTTCAAAAATTTATAATCACAAGATGTGCAATCTCGCCGATCCATGGACGAGAGCTACTATCAGGTTCGAGATAGAGCCTTTCGTTGTCATTATTAAAGTATCCAAATCCATCCTTCGACAGCAAGTACTCTTAGAGTTCTTGGAACATTTTACCCTTTGATGAACAAGGAATAACGTCTACCCTTAGCCAAAAAGGGCGTATGGTTTAAATAGAGTCTATCGTCGGAAGAATCTGGATGTCCTATGAGGATTATCACTCCAGCAGGTAACCCCCATAGCAGATAAAAATATTTCAAAAAGGATCAAAGGAAGATATAAATCAAAAGATTTTATGATAAGGTCAGCTTGAAGCTTCAAAAGCTGAAAAAGTGACCTTTTGGCAAAATAAATGGAGAGATTTTCTCTAGGTCTTAGATTTTGACCAATAAAAAAAAGAAAACCTCCTCATCACTTGGATCTTCATAGCTTCTCATTCTGCTGCACAGAATTAAGCACGGATTTCAGCGAATCAGGAAGGATCCTTTAAAAATCAAAGAATTTTGATCCATTTTAAATTTTGGTTCGCATAGCCCTTGATAAAATGATAAAAATAAAAAATTTTCTCCGTGGATCCTAATAATTAAAAAAAAAATTTTATCCGGTACAGTCTTCGTGAGACGAAGCAGAATGCATGTTACATCCCACAAAAGCTGTACCAATAAGTTGGCTCCCAAAGGAAAATTTTCCTCGAATACTCACCGATATAACTGCCATCTAGGTACTCAATTTGGTGAAAGGATGTTTGTTATCCAGAGTGAATCATGGCAAAAATTTTCGGAAAAAGGATTCATACAATGAAACTTTCTCAAAGAAAAGAGAAAATTTCCAGAAAAGTTTTGATAAGATAAGAGAATCCTTTCCTTCGAATCAAACCTTTCACTTACAC